TGAAAGCAAGGAGCATGAATGCATATTGAGAGTGGGAGAGAGAGAGAGAGAGAGAGAGAGAGCAAAAATCACCTCACATAAAAGCAGCACCCCAGAAGCGGCATTTCTAGTTGAACAACAATAATTAGCACTTTTTGAAAACATATCAGCGAAATAAACTCCTTTTCCGAACATATAACCTGTTACCGGGGCTTCGGGAGGAGCAATGCGCAAACCTGGTTTTTTTTAAGATTGCTAAATTCAATCACATTCTCCTCCAGTAAATTTAGTATTTAATTACTTCAGAAACCCAATAATAATAATAATAATAATAACAATAACCACCTTGGGACAAAATTCCCGTCCAGTTGGTGAGTCTGGAGCCATGCCACAGAAGCATTCTGTTTTTTGTCCTTGAAAACTGTAGATCACAATATGACAAATTTGTCACGATTAAGAGGAGGAATCATGTGAGAATAAAATTTTTGAAAGATAAAATGTAGAAAAGAATTATTCATTTGTAACACGCTATTCACCTTCTCAAACCTTTCAGCTTCTCCCTCTCTTGAGACCTTAAATATCTGAACGATGTCAACATCATAATCGGAATGTGTCTTTGCATGAGTGTTTTTCGTGTATTTCTGAATCTGAAAACAGAAATATTTTCAGGTCAATAAATAGTTGTGAACAAATAAGATAACTGATCTTAAATAAAAGTGAGCCACAAAAATGGAAAAATTATCGGAAATAGTCAAATAAAATTGTGAAAGTTACCATGGAAAATTCCTCAGAAGCAACTTCAAGTGGCACCAGGTCACAGTGAAGCAGTCTATACTGCGAGTACAGGGGATCCTAAAAAAGAAGGGACAAAATAATCAGATAATGCTGCATAAACTGATTTAAATCTCTGTATTAGGTGTGCATGGTTATTGCAATTAGAGATGTAGGAAGCACATTATCACATAACAAAAAATACAAAATATATCCAATATAGTTTAGGATAACAGATGAACAGGGATCATAGGTATTTAGTATGAATGATGATATCACGGGTTGGCTTGTTTAGTATGATCAAAGGCAATCATAGATGTTGTAGGTATAGGAGTTAGACACTCAACTTCTCTAGCCATGCGCTACATTTCTACATTACTGTAGAGTAGTGCGAAAAAACTTGCTCCAATACCGTGCTATATTTTCGCACTAAATATATGAATAGTATTTTGCTACATGAAGCGTGATACTATTCACCGCGCTACAATTTTTCTTCTTCAAATTTTAGTTTTTTAATTGATTTTTATTTCTAAATATTATTTTGATAACATTTACATCAATAAAATTATTCATTTTGTTAAATAATTTAAAATTCTGATTTTATAGTTGTATTTAAATTTTATTTTGTACTAATATATTTCAATGTAGAGTAAAATATAGCACGAACTGCTGGAGACGAAAGTTAAATTTTGGCATTCCCTACTCTAGAGTAGAGTAAACTCTACACTAGAGTAGAGTAAAGGATTGGAGATGGTCTTAGGTCATACAACTAAGGATAGATTGCTAAGGAAGAACAAGACCACCAAGTTTATGCAACCCAGAAGAAAGAGATTACATATGACGTACCTCCATATCAGTACCATCCTCAATTAACTTCATTGCAACCTCAATTTCACCAAGTGCTTCAACCTATCATTTTGTGGCAAGACACGGATAAGAAACATGTGTGTGTGTGTGCGTGTCGCAAATTAAAATGATTGCATACTAGATAACTTTTCGTTAAAATTGATTGACTCATGTTACTGCATCAAATAACACCGGCCAACTACACGGTATCTCCAGGCCATAAGTGTGCATCTATAGAAAACATATGATGAATGAATAGGAACAAAAATCACCATTTCCAACTTGTGTTTTAGTTTTTGAGGGGTGTCAATGACGAACAGACCTGTCACAATACAAGACCAGAGATCCTTTTAGAATTTGGACAAAATATACCAACTATGATCAGGATTAAAAAAAAAATAGCCAATTGTAGCCATTTTTCCATGCTTTTGAATACAAAAAGACCCTGCGAGCGAAAGACATATCAGAGATATAAATTATTAAATAAGCACCATGCAAGAAGGAAGAAAGCATACTTGTTTTCTTAAAACCAAAGTCGTGGGGGATCACAGTGTAAAATTCCCTGAGATTTAGGTAGTACACCCAAATTAGCACATAACTAAAACAAGCTTCTAAATTCTAACTAGTATCATGCCAATTCTGTGTAAATTTCATAATGGCAAAGCTTTACCCGCTTAATTGCTCTAGCGTCTTCCTATCAGCATTGGCAATCACATCAGCAATTCTTTTCAAGACATCATAACCCTGTACAGATTACATGATTGCAATTAGAAATATGTTATTTTAAAGAGTTGGCTTACAAATCACAAAAATTTCTTAATTTCATTTTTCAAGAGACACCTTTCTGATGTATGATTAGAGAAAGATGGAGAAAGACAAGAAAGTCCAGCTAAATAGAATTGATAGCATTGACAGAGTAAGAGAACATAATTTAAATATTGATGTAACAAATCGATATGGGGGCCTTGGTGGATGCAAAGAGCCTTGCCATGCCAAACAAAAAGCTCAAAATAGAACNTTGAAAAAAGCGACATTACATGCATCATATCAACTAGCTCGATTGTCTGGTAACTGTAAAAAGACATAAGTTTCAAGACAACTATTCAAGCTACACAAAACAGGATTAAAAAAATCTATCACCTTTAAAATTGTCGATTTGCTCAATTTACCCAGAGGTAACTTGTCAGCATTGTATCCTGTTACAAATAAAAAGTAATCACAAATCAATATTAAAAGGTGGAAATTGGTAGATAAAGCTAAAGATAAAAAGAGATGTAGTACTTTCCACAATGAAAGGAAATTGATACAATTGATACTAACCAATTTCCATCATCTGTTGTGTCATCATGCTCATGTTGCAGATGAGAGAGATGAAATCTGCAATCCGTGCTTCCAGCTTTGTCTCTTTAGGTTCCAGCCTTGTTGTAGATTCTGGCTTTGATTTAACCTAAATGGTCATGGATAAATCAGCTCACGAGAGTTTGGGAGACAACGTGTGAACCAGAAAATTACCACTGTTTATTCTCATACTCAAGCATATTATCAAATCCATACATGTAATGGTTTTTCACAGAGACACACACGGACTAAAAGACCCTGAACCAAGCATGTAAGAATTTTTACAACAAGATGTAGATCAAATAACTTACTGCTCGATTATTTTGGGTCTCACTATAGTCCATTTCTAACCAAGTATAGCAGCGTGGATGACTAACAAACTCTTTCCTATTGATCCAACGATTCTTGGTCTTGTCAAAAAACTTTTTCTCAAACTCAGAGATCGCAGCTTGCTGTGAGCTGTAAGGCCCACTTAATTTATCTTGACCCTTCACACCTACTCTTCCCCATCTAAAATAGACCATGAATTTGCCGCCATCATCAGATTCTGCAATTAAAAGTTGTGAACCGCATTAACAGAAAAGTACGAATTATTGTTTTTTAGACACCTTGACAAGAAGATGGCACAATATTGCCTGAACTATTTCGTGTATTTAAGTCCAATACTGTATGCATTCAATCAAAACATAATGGGGATGGAGGTATGACCTAGAGCTTGAATGACAAAAAACTTGTTATTGTTCTCCCCAACATTTGTTTGATTCAACATGGCATCATAAATGTCATCACCCTGCAGGAGAAATTAACAAGTCAAAACCAAGATAACACACAATATTTATCAACTTCTTGTTCTGCTTAAGTACTCATTAAGATGACTTACTACTTGCAAGACATGGTACTGCTTCTTAATATGGTCTGGAAGATATTTATCCAAGACAGCTGAACCTTTCTTGGTGGCTGTGACTAATTTCTCTTTCTTTTCCTCTTTCAAAGTTAGAATGTCCAAAACAATAAACAGAAGTATATTTCAGAAACATTATAAGGAAACATAACTTAACTACAATCACATGATACATAAATTTCATTGATGAATATCCCTAAATGTGTTCTCTATTCAATAATACACTGCTAATGTGCACACACTAAGTAATTTATAACATCACAAAGACTAGAAACACACATATCATCTTGCTTTATTGGCACCAAATTTGGGAAAATCCAAGAGTGAATGTTCAGTATTAGCAACATGGAGAGTGGATGCACATATGATTTGTTATACAAAACAGAAAACTGAATACCAGTATCATTGTCATTTGAGACATCATCGTTATCAGCACACAATCTCTCCAGCAGCTCCTTTTTCGTGCCAACAGCAGAAAGTCCTCGTGTGCCAGCTTCTTCTCGAAGCTGCTTTATATTCATTCCTCGCATGTCATCAATGGTCTTTACTTTCTGCAGTGCATGGGAGCCGGCATTCCCGTCTTTGCTATCATCTATCATCATCAAAATGACCCAAGATACTGGAATTAGGTATGACTGTACAAAATGACAGTTTAATACAATATCAAGAATAGTATGCACCACAGCACACTCCTGATGATAAATAGAAAATCCCATATCAGATAAATACCCAATCAGTGGAGTATAACTGACTAACCATCATAAAAGTCATGCATGTCACTGGCAACATTCTCATATTCTGTCCTACTAATGACAAAATATAATATCCAACAGCTATGTTAAACCAACAATTAGTCGCTAACCCGTTTCCCCACCACATACACCGAAGGTTAGAGCGAGAGACAAAGTTAGTTACCTTCGCCATTGTTGCTTAAATCGTTGGCACCTCCAGCACAGAGCCTCTCTAGAAGCTCCTTCTTACTTCCAGCAGCAGAAACTCCTCTACTCGAAGCCTCTTCACGAAGCTGCTTCAAATTCATCCCTCGCAGCTCGTCCATGGCCTTCATTTTCCCAGGCGCCTCCGTATCAGCATCCGTGATTTCGGAATCCCTCCGCCTCTTGCGGCTGGAGCTCGAATTGGAGTTCGAATCCACCAATTTTTGCTTCTCGTCTTGAAGAGCGGCTTCAAGCCTCCGAACCTGCAGTTATTAACAAGAAGAACAGCGTTTATGAAAAAATCAATTGTCAGATGATTAATTTCTGATTAAAATAAATGAAAAGTCACCGACCAGAATAGACTTAATTCCGGCGGTGCTGAGGCCGCGCTTCGTGAGCTCAGCCCGAAGTTCGTCGACTTTGAGATCCTTCGCCGCCATTGTTGTTGTGTTGCTCGAGGAGAAATGGAGGGAGTTTACAGAGGGACTTCGAAATGTATGACTTTGGGCGAAAACGAGCTTACAAGAGAAGTTTTCTTGTGAGATAATCTCAGTGCTAGGCACGACTCTTTTGCGCGCTTCAATAATTTCGAGTACATCGTTTTCCAATTTTAGCCTCTTCCCATCTATCGAATTAATCAACTGAGCCAACTAATGGGCCTGTGCATTTGTTTGAAATTGGGTCATGGCCCTTTTGCCAGTCTATACATCCAGTGAGTAACTGTGCACAACCCAGCATTGCCTATGCCCAATTGTATCTTTCAATCAAACATTTTGCTTGGAAAAATCGTGATCCTTGCTATTTTGCCAGGAAGGTGACACAATTTAATATGTTGATATGAGAATATCATAATATCATCCATGGTGGTATATAATTGAGATATTAGAGCATGTTTGTATATAAAAAAAAAATCTTAATTTTTTTTTAACTAGAGTTAACTTTGAAAAAAATTGTATGGTTAGTTGTTAGTGAGATTTGAATTTTATATTAAAATAGTATTTAAAATAAAATAATTAAAGTTGATTTGATGTAAACGTACGAGAGAGATGGTGTGAAGTGATGGCTAGTTAAAATTATGTGAGAGGATAAATATTAAATCTATATCCATATAAAAAGGTTTGATTATTTTTTAAATAGTAATTATTTCCCTTCAAAAAACATCTATTTACTATTTTGGAAAATTAATTAACAATTTATGGTATATATCAAATAATCACTTATGGAAATTGCGGCTCATTATTTAAGGAAGTAATTAAGTCATATTTTAAGATAACTTAAAATTCAAATCATGTGAATTAATTAATATATGGTATAAAGTGGACGAATTTATTTTTGGTATTGAGGATTGTTTCTCTGGAAAATAAATTAATCAATATATGGTATAAAGTGAACAAATTTATTTAGGTTATTGATTACTGTTTTTTGTTAGAAAATTTATTGAAAAATTAATCAATACATGGTGCACTTTTTTCTGTAGAGGGCAGACCAATATATTGGTTTTTAGGCGTGTGTTTCAATTTTTATTTCAATTTTTCGTATGAAATTAACATAATAAAATCTCCGTAACTCCGACAAAATAATATGAACGTATATTTTGATATAATGTTCATGTATCGATGTTTTTTATAGAAAGAGCTCTGGTTAATTTTATTTTTGTATAATTAGTGGGTCTCGATTTAATTTATTTTTTGTTTCGACGTTTCAAACAATTTTTGTGTGAAATGCATTATTCATAATTTTTAGCATGATAAAGAGTGTTGATTTTTTTGGCATGAAAAATCTTATGACTGATTTTTTTTATTCAACTATTTAAATTTTATGATTTGGATATTTTATACAAAAATAAATTCATTTTAGTTAATGAAAAAATATAAGTTTTATATTTTTACTTATTATTCACATAGGTTTTTAATATATAATAAAATTTTACCAAATAATTATTTTATGCAATCACGTTATTGTCCAATCGAAAATCTGAATAAACTAAACATTTTGAAATGACACATGGTTTGAAATGAATATAATGTAATTTATTATCGGTTATGTGCAACGCACGGGTTATGTACTAATTTTAAATACATATTTGTATGTAATTTTGCACAATTTAAATTTTATATAACATTTTCAATAAATTAATATAAGTACATTGTATTACATATTGATTCCATGTTTTTAATTTATAAATATTATTTAATAAGAATTTTTAATTTATAAATATTAATTAATATCTCTTACCCGTGCAATCGCACGGGATTCGTACTAGTTAAAGTTGATGTAATATGTAAGAATAATTTGTTGGTATTATTTAATTATACTGATACTATTGAAGATTGTGGAATTGGATTAAAGTTGAGTTGAATTTTAAGTATGAATTGAATTTTTTCATATATAAACACACCATTATTACAATGATCTTAACCCATGTGGCCGGTGGACACATTAAAAACCCACATTTGTTAGATAACAAATTCAAATATCCTATTACATGTAAAAGGGTGGAAGAACCTGATAAGTCTAGACTTGTAAAACGAAACTTGCTCGTGAGCTCAGCTCGTCGTGGACGCATATCTCATTTGGAACCCAACACAACTCAATACATGAGTCAAACAAATGCTTTGGGTGCGAGGATGGTGAGTAGTTATCGATTGTCACGAGTCATCTTGTGTATCAAATGACTATCGATGGATCATCAGTGAAAGAATTTGACAATTCTTTGACAATTATGGTTTTTTGTTGTTAACGAGTAATTTTCCTCAATAGAGTTATTAATTTTCAATCAACTATTTTAAGTGAGAAAATATATACATTTTTGTATGCTTGTGATGTTGGAAATTTTATTCCAATTGGTTAGGAGTTTGTGAGAGTTCTATTGTTTAGTTTACGTAACTTTTGCGTTTAGGAACTCACTCTTTTTACATTTTCTTTTTTTGAATCCAAAGGGGGCGCGAGGATGAATAAATCGAGTCCCTATAGGCGCCCTGAATTTATACATTTTGCGAGAATTGCACTAATAAGTACACACTTTAACCGGCAACCGAGACAACTATTTGGTCGCCCGCCGAAAGCACGCACACTCACCGGCCGCTCCACTCAATCGCCAGCTCTCTTTGAACTTGATTTTCTCGGCGACGGCCGTTAGATCTCAGAATCGCATCGGAGCTGAAGGCTTTCCCCTCAACAGTGGACAAATGCTACACGAATTGCTGCTGGCGCTCGTAGGTTACACCGGAGATCTCATCGTCGACGAGAGGGAACACCAACAAACTCTCCGGGTTAACTTATCCCCGGACGCGCCCCTCGCCGATGAGCCGACTTTCAGGCTCGCGTCAGATATTTCCTTCATTCAGCCCAGCGAGAGGTCCTTACTATGTTTTTTACTCTTCTTTTTTGGATATGCTTAATTCTCACAATCGCCTGGTAATTAGGTGAAAATGTATTGTTGTTGTTGAATTTTAATGGGAAGGTGGTGTGTTATTTGGTGTTGAATTAGGCTGTTGATGGGCTGGGAAGTTGGCTAGAGTGGGCAATTATGTCGGAGATTATTGTCATTGTGCAGTCCTGTGTTGTTTTTTTATTCATTTTTTCGGATATGCTTAATTCTCACAATCGCCTTGGTAATTAGGTAGAAATATATTGCTGTTGTTGAATTTTACTGAAAAGATAGCTCGGGTTTGTGTTATTTGGTGTTGAGTTAGGCTGTTGATGGGCTGGGAAGTTAGATAGAGTGGGTAACTATGTCGGAGATTATCGTCATTGTGCAGTTCTGCTGTTTTTTTATTCATTTTTTCAGATACGCTTAATTCTCACAATCGCCTTGGTAATTAGGTGGAAATGTATTGCTGTTGTATTTTACAGAAAAGATAGCCCTGGTTTGTGTTATATGGTGTTGAATTAGGTTGTTGATGGGCTGGGAAGTTAGAAAGAGTGGGTAATTATGTCGAAGATTGTTGTCATTATGCAGTTCTGTGTAGCACCTGAGCTATTTTTTTAAATCTAATGGTCTACTGAGTAATTTTCATACCTGCTAATTGGCTGAGACTATAAATTCTTGTGATGGTAAAATATGAGCATTTTGGGACTAGTTGATTTATGAATTTATTGTTCCCCAGCTGATTTAATACATTCAGATATCAAGTTGATTTTTTTATTTTCTAGTGAAAGATGGGTAGTTGTTGTTTTATGCATTATATCTATCTGTATGATTTAGGTTAGTAAGTCATTGGGAAAGTAGTCATATTAGAACTTCTGTACAGAAATAATGTATTCTCTTATTCAGTTCTTTTAATTCTCTGGTTGCTTGATTGAATTTCTCCTTGCAGTATTTATATGAAACAAAATGTATCTGGTTAGACTTTTATCTCATTCATGCATCTTTCATTCTGATTGGCAGGGAAGTTATCGAGAGAGTGATTACGCTAGGTTTTTACTATAGGGAGCTAGAACGATTTGCTGCTAAATCTAGGAATTTAAGTTGGATTCGTTCTTCGAATGAGTCACCCTTGTTGAGAGCCACAGAAATTTCAAAAGGAAAGAAAGTTAAGCCAAGTGTATATAGGAGGGCACTGGCAAATGGCATTGTTGAGGTGTTGTCTGTCTACAGATCTGCTGTTTTGCAAATTGAGCAGAAATTGTTGTCTGATTCCCTGCCCATCCTGGCAACTGTGACACAAGGGCTCAATAAGGTAGAATTTATGTTATTTCAGCTTCTGTGAATTGGATGGTTTAATTCTTGTCAGTGTGTCAGTTTTTGGTAATGTTTACTTTCTTTTTCAATTTGTGGATATGCCATGATTTTTTGTTGAATTTTTTAGTAACATCTGTAAGCATGACTTATATGTCAGTTATTTTCAATATTCCATTTAGTTTGTAAACCTAAGAAACATAGAGCAATAGCAAGATGAAACCTTTCAAAGGAACATATGTAAAATTTGGTTAATTTCCTAGGTTGTCACTCACTATTACTAGCTGGATTTAGCAACTCCATACTTTTGAAATGAATTGGAGTGAACAGTTAGTTTTACCATATAATAATTGTGACGTTTAACGAGCCAAGTTATGCTAATATTTAATCTACTTTTCTCTTCTTGCTTTAATATCAATTAACTTGTGAAATTATGTCTTAGTTCTTCATCTTGCTGCCACCTCTTTATGAGCTCATTTTGGAGATTGAGCGTGATAATGTATATGGAGGGAGACTTCTCAACCTTTTACAAAAACGATGCCATTGTGGGGTTCCTGAACTACAAACATGCATTCAGCGGTATGAATTAGTCTGTTTCATCTGATATTGCAGCATCCAGCATAATAATTCACTGAATTCTTTGAGTCAAATTTGGTCAAATTAACAGAAATTCAGTGAAACCTAAGTGCTTATGTCAACACAATGCTCATGCTTATCATGATTCATGAAACTTATTAGAGGTCAGTGCTGCTCCATATTCAGAAAAACCAATTTATGGTTTAGGACTTCAATCGTCATACACTGTTAGGAATTACAAATTTGGCTGGAGGGGTGGGGGGGGAGCCTGGGGTGGCTGTAAGACCGTAAGTGGTAAGGGAGTTGGGGCTGGGGGATGTCCGAGTAAGCTATAGTCATGTGAGCATCTTGCTTACAAAGCCACCAGGGGTAATTTGCAATTTAAATGTTGTTATGCTTGTGGTTTTTGTTTTTTGAAAGGGCATTTTTATTTCTTGGTTTTCTGGAAATGAAGTAATGATTTAATTCGGAAAATAAGCATTCTAATTCAATTATGACAAAGCATAGGGATGATATTTTTGCCATGATATTTCTATTTGATTTTGAAGTTTGAATGTTAGTAACAAATGTTGAACAGGTTTCAGAGGTTTTAATTATAGTTCACCTGAGGTTTGCTGTGCTGTGATAATAAGCGATATAGGCATTTGATTCTCCCTAGGGTAGGCGTTTTTATGTTGTCTAATGATAAAAGAATAATATCAAACAGGCTTCTATGGCATGGACATCAGGTCATGTACAATCAACTCACATCATGGGTGGTTTATGGGATCCTTCATGACCAGTATGGAGAATTCTTTGTTACAAGGTGCAGGTTTACTGGGTACTGTCTTGTCCATTTTCAATATGCTTAAGAAAATAGCTTTATAAATCAAGATTTGGATACAATTTGCATTTCCCAGGCAAGAGGATAGGGATTCTGAAGATGACCCAGAGGCAGATACACTTAACAAATTGGCTCGCATGTCAACCAATGATGTATCTCTAACTGATTGGCATCTGGGTTTCCACATTTCTCTGGTATATCTTTCTCCAGCAGCTTAGTTTGCACGAGATTGCATGACTAGGTTCTTCATGAAGATATTTTGAATTGAATATGTTGTTTATATCCACACTAAACAGTTCTCAGATCAGTGATTGGTACCTTTTCAGATTTATAATTTTGACAGCCTTCAACAATTTGTCAAGCATTTGATACCCACCATCTCCTCGTCCCTGAAAAAGAAGAAAAAAGAAAATAAAAGCACTATAAGAAGCAACTAAATAATTTTAAATAGCTAAATCAAATCAATATTTTCGTATTTTATTTTTGGATTCTTTTGCAGGATATGCTTCCAGAGTATGTTCCAATGCATGTAGCTGAATCTATTCTATTTGCTGGAAAAGCTATCCGAGTTCTCCGGAATCCAAGTCTTGCTCCATCTCATCAACACATACAGAAAGGGTCCCAAAGGTCTCAAGTATCTACGGGAAGGCTGTCCATGTTGAAGGACTCTTCTATACAAACTATATTGACTGGAGAAGAATTACTTCCACAATCTGAGGCTGACAAAATTGAATCTATGCTTCAAGACTTGAAGGTATAATGTTCTCTAAACAGCACAGCTACTATTCAGGCTATTGATTGCAATGGTGGCAGTTTTAATGCCATAAGCATTTTAGATTTGTTTACTGCTCTCTCTTATTGCTTCATGCTCCTAAGTTTTGACATTCATGACATCTTGTACTTTGTCCTAGTACCCAATTGCTTCTCTCTTTTTTTCCCAATTAACTGTTTGGTACTTGATTTATTATACGCAGGAAGCATCCGAGTTCCATAAGCGCTCATTTGAGATGGCGGTTGACTCAATCATGGCGATTGCAGCGAATCATCTTTGGCAGGTGCTCATCGCACATATTTAATGTGTAAGTTCCTTTATTGTTGTATAGTCTAATCTGGAGATTTTGGTCATATCTGCAGCTTGTTGTTGTGCGTGCCGACTTGAATGGCCACTTGAAAGCTCTTAAAGATTATTTCCTTTTAGCAAAAGGTGATTTTTTCCAGGTAGGATAAAAATGTAATTTTCTCTGTTTTGTTAGTTTGATATATGATCTAAATCATGATATTCTTTTTCAATAATCCTAGAGCTCTTAGATTGACCTATAGAGAGACCCATCATCTAACCTTTTTTTTTTCCAGCAATGACGTACACGAGGTGCATGAAATTAGGTGACCTGTGTGACAGCTTCTTTCACACCTTTCCCTTTTACTAGATTTATGTAAAAGGAAGTTGAAGGAATGGTTGTTTGAGTATGCTTAAGATCGAGAAACATAATTAGACAACACTCATTGTAGTTGCAGCTGAATATTTTCTTTGACCTTGTGGCTTGCTTTTCCTCACTTTTTATGGTAGCATACTGAAATGAGATGTTTTAACATGATAGAGTTTTCTTGAGGAGAGTCGTGTGCTCATGCGGTTACCACCTCGTCAATCAACTGCTGAAGCTGATCTGATGGTTCCCTTTCAACTGGTGAGTGTCGGCTATGAAAATCACGACAACTTATAAGAGTGACGCATTTTCATTTGATATATTTACAATATGTATTTTCCACTCACAGAAATCCACTTGGCAATTTCTGCCCACATCTGAAAGAAACTCCATTTTGTTAGCTACTCCGATTTAAGTTTGTTTGTTTGTGATCCTAAAAGTAAAATGTTGAAGAGTTTTCTTCATTATCTCATTGTCTCAAGACACATTAAATTATTTCGCTTTACAGTGGGGCCAATCTGGGCCCAACCCCCACTCCACAACCCCCACTCCCTCTTGCACTTCTAGTCGCATATCTTCTGCACTTCACTAAACTCGAAAAATTTTATCCCGAGCAGGCTGCATTAAAGACTATTGGCGAAGAGGATAAATACTTCTCCAGAGTGTCTTTGCGGTATGGCCATTTCGAGTAGATGCATAAAATAGAATGTAACTCTTCGGAGCAATTGTTATTATCATTAATAATAATTATCTTTAACACTTCCAGAATGCCTGGAATCACATTGAGATCCTCCCATGTTGAGTTGCCAAAATCAAAAGCATATTCTGATGGTGATTCGGGAGCACAAGCAGATACTTCTATGGAGATGTCAGTGGATGGCTGGGATGGTATTGCTCTTGAATACTCTGTTGATTGGCCATTGCACTTGTTCTTTACACAGGAAGTGCTCTCTAAGTAAGCTATCACCAGGCCCATTCCTCTCCGCTTGGAACTGTGAAGCTAAAATACAAAGCAGTGATAAAATCTGTGCAATTTTTCATCATTGATAATGTTTGAGTATCCAACTTCTCAGTTATTGTAGCAAGCATCATTAATAGTGTAGTGAGAGACTTCTCTGTTGTTGATATCAAAATATGAATAGGTACCTTAGGATCTTTCAGTACTTGCTCCGTCTAAAGCGCACTCAGATGGAATTGGAAAAGTCGTGGGCTTCTGCAATGCATCAAGATCATTCTGATTTTGCCAAACGTCACAATAAAAGCCGTAAAAGTTTAACATCTCAACAGAAACGGCAACGCTTTAGACCAATGTGGCGTGTTAGAGAACATATGGCTTTCCTGATCAGAAATCTCCAATTCTATATTCAGGTACTTTCCCCAATGTATGGGCCATGAACTTGCTTCTAATTGATGGGTTTTGCGTGTCAGTTGATTTTCTATAAGATTTCTTTGTATTTCTTTCTTTTCCCTCTTTTCCTCTTCGGAAAAATAAATAAATAAAAAATCCTTGAGTGCACAAAGCCACAACTGGCCTTATATGCTGCACTTTCTTCAACCCTGTAGTGCAATATTTCCTTGAGCAGGCATCTTAAATTTTGATCAACTGGGAAGTAAACATGTTTGGATTAATATGCAGAATGATCTTTCCTACTGAAGATGAACTTGCATTTTTTATACAATTTCATTTCCTATAGGATTTGTGTGTGTGTGTGTGAGAGTGTGAGTGTTTTTTTATTATGATTGTGTATATATAAAAGGTAATGAATGGAAATCTGTGAAATCAGACATAGGATCAGACACTCTTATTTTCATTATTTACATGAATTAGTTTGTTGTTATTGCCGTATATTATTGTGTCGTTATCAATTAGAACTTTCTGTTGAACGATTTAATTATTGATACTGCTTGTTTTCGAATTTTTTAGGTGGATGTAATAGAATCTCAATGGAATGTATTGCAATCTCATATTCAAAATTCTCGGGATTTCACAGAACTGGTGGGCTTCCACCAAGAGTAAGCCATTGGAACTCGTTATCTGATCTTTGACGTGCACATGCGTTAGAAAGATACTGAATTTGCCAATTGCGGTGTTTGTTCTTGTTTACTCAACTGCTAATATAGCACCCAAAAATTTTCTTTAATCTAGGCTCAATTGCTGCAGGTACTTATCTGCACTGATTTCACAATCTTTCTTGGATATTGGTTCCGTCTCACGCATTTTGGATGGCATTATAAAGCTTTGTTGGCAATTTTGCTGGAAGGTTGAGAACCAAGAGAACAAAGAAATCACCATTGAGTTGGAGCACATAGCTGAGGTACTCAGGCTGAGACTTGACTTGCAAGTCTGGGTGTGTTTGTTTATAAATTTTCTCAATCCATGGTCAAAATGTAACTCAACTTCTAACTCAAACCCCACTATTCTCAATATTCTTAACATAAATTAAATAATACAAATTAATCATTCTTACCTATCACATCAACTTTAATTCACTATTCATTCACTCATATAATTTTAACTAATCATCACTTCGCATAATCTCTTTCCTACTTTTACATCAAATCAACTTTAATTATTTTATTTTAAATATTTTTTTTAATATAAATTCAAAATCTCACTAACAATTAACCGTACCACCTTTTTCCAAAGTTAACACTGGTTAACAAAAAATAACTCGTTTTGAGCGGATATATTGACATGTTCTGAATATGTGCCATGTAAATTATGACTCTTTCTTGACACGACTGTACTTCTGTTTGATTAATGCATGAATTTAATAAGAAGTCGGAATTCATTATACACTACCCTTATTCATGAATATGCATTGTGTAAATTACTTTTCTTTCTTGAGACTGACTGTACTTCTCTTTGATTAATGCAGGAATTTAATAAGAAGTCAAATTCATTATACACGATTCTCCGAAGCAGCAGGATAGCTGGGAGTCAGCGCGCCCCTTTTCTCAGGCGGTTCCTTCTACGACTCAACTTCAATTCATTCTTTGAGGTGAGACTTTCAAAAGCATGTGTGAATTTTTCTACTAAAAATCATTCACTTTGGACCACATTTTTATACTTTTGCTAATCCGCTGGCAGACAACTGCTCGAGGTGTGCTGAATGTTGTAAGACCTCGCCCGGCACTCTCGTCTGGAGTTATTTAGGTTGTGTTTGGTAAGCATTTTAACTCTCGTCTGGAGTGATTTAGGCTGTGTTTGGTAAGCATATAAGCTAGCTTATAGCTTATTGATTAGCTTATAAGTTTCCTGTATTTAAATAAGTTTGGTTTGGTAGGACGAATTTTTTCAAAAAACTCGAGTTTATCCCATAAGTTTCCTTGGATAGCTTTTCAGTTAATTTTACCAAATACCTTTTATCATATAAGTTAGTTTTTTCGCCATAAGTTATAATAAGCTATCAACTATAAGTTCGAAATTCACTTAAAAGCTATAAGCTAGTTTATCAGCTAGGTTTACCGAACATAGTCTTTGGCTTTCTATGAGGTTCCCCGTGTCACTGTGTTAGTCTTCTCAATTCCGCACTATTGAAATTTTGAAAATCTTTTCCAAGACGGTATTTTCCGATGACCGATGTGATGAATACACACTTGAGATTTTTGTTTGTCACAGTTTCATTAACAATTCATATTAAAAAAGATCTATTTATTCGCCTGCCCAATTTGACTGACGTTGGTAGGATACTCATAATGAACTAATCTTTGTTGATTGATTATTTTTCCTTCCGCAGGAAGTCTCGGAGAAGATTTTGCTTGCTCAAGTTGTTTGGCTCTATGATATTTTCTTTCTTTTCTTTTTTTTTTTCGGCAGGGAATTTATTTAATTATTTGCTCAACGTTTTATATTTTGTATATTAATTATGCTGTAGGCTTGTAGTTTTGACGACTCATTTGTTCATGATATGTTCTTTTTCATTTCCTATAGTAGAGACTAGAGAGTTGCCTTGATAATTTGATGAGAATTTTCAAATCAAGTATTCCTAATTTTTCGCTTGTGCTACCTTTAACACCTTCAATCAGTACCCAACAATCAATGTGTGGTCATGACTGGAATAATAATATGATTTGCTTAGCGTTGTTACAGAAGATTTGTTCTTTTAGGTTGTAGTTTTTTTGGGTATTTGGGTTTTATAGGGTTTGTCTATTTTATTTGGCATTTTCATGTTTGGTTTTGACTTATATTAACATTAGACCTTGTACTTGGGTCTCTTTTCGAGTTTTATAATATTGCTATAAGAAATTCTATAGAGCAATGATTTTATGAAACATGTCTAAATTGTATTGATATAATTAGCAACAGATATATCCATCAATAGCGAGAAAATAAAAGAAGTTACTGGCTCTTCTAGCAAGAAAAAAATGAAACTAACCCGGCCGGGCCGGCTTCACTCTTTTGCTACCTAACCTCGTACTGCAGATGCAAAAAATAAATAAATAAATAAATAAGAAAAAAACTACCACAAAATAAGAAATCCAAGCAAACCAACAAAGCTTATCATCTATCATCATCTTCCTCACCAACAATGGAGACCCTACCAAACCCCTCTGAAACCTCCGACGAAATCCAGCCGGAACAACAACAAGAATCCCTGAACCAGAACCCCCCTTCTCTCCTCCCCGCCGCCTCCATATCACTCTCTCTCTCCACCCTCCTCCCCTCCCACTTCCTCCCTCCCAAGCGGCTCCCAATCCCGCCGAACAAGGTCAAAATCCCATCCCAGATCTCCTCTATCTCCCGCTGCTCCCTCTCCTCCGCCCTCCGCCCGGCGAGGCTCCTCCTCACCCTCAAGCCCACCGCCGCGTCGCCCAGCCTCCTGCAGACCCCACTCCCGCTCAACCCCCTCCGCCCCTCCAACCCCTCCGGCGCCGGCCCCTTCCGCCGCGCCGCCGTCGTCTGGTTCCGCAACGACCTCCGCGTCCACGACAACGAGTGCCTCTCCGCCGCCAACGACGACTCACTCTCCGTCCTCCCCGTCTACTGCTTCGACCCGCGTGACTACGGCAAGTCCTCGTCCGGGTTCGACAAGACCGGGCCCTACCGGGCCACGTTCCTGATCGAGTCCGTCACAGATCTGAGGAAGAACCTCCAGGACCGCGGGTCGGATCTCGTGGTTAGAATCGGGCGGCCCGAAAGCGTCCTGCTGGAGGTGGTTAAGGCAGTCGGGGCTGAGGCTGTTTACATGCACAGGGAGGTCTCGCACGAGGAGGTGAAGGCAGAGGAGAAGATTGAGGAGGTCATGAAGGATGAGGGGGTCGAGGTGAAGTACTTCTGGGGAAGCACATTGTACCACATGGAGGATTTGCCGTTTGAATTAGCAGATATGCCGACCAATTATGGCGGGTTTAAGGAGAAGGTGAAGAGTTTGGAGGTTCGGAAGACGATCGAGGCTTTGGATAAATTGAAAGGTTTACCAAAGAAAGGGGATATCGAGCCCGGAGAAATTCCGTCGTTGGTCGATTTGGGGCTTAATCCGAACGCCACAATGGGGCAGGTAATGAATGAATTCAGATTTATTATACAGATTGCAAAGAAGATGAATTGTGCATTTTTTTTAGCTCTGGTGAAGAATTTGTGATTTGGGGAGTGTTAAGTGATTTTAGAGGTTGTATTTTGATATTTGGTTAGGTAAAGAATATTGTGACTTTCTTTAGCATACAGCCTACAGGAGAAGTTCGAATATACAATGTCTTTAGTGTAAAACTAAAATCAATGTGGCCTGAATTTACTTATGTAGGTAAAGTGCTCCCTGATGAGTTCTGTAATTGCAGTGTTGCTAAATGCAGAATTTCATTCATATTGGCTTTGCTTATGGTTAAAGGATATCTGAGCTTATAGAAGGAAGCTGATTCTTCGTGTAGTGAAGATTATAGTGAATTGTTGCTCAATAAAGCAGTTGTGTGAACATGAGCCCGAGCTTTAGAACAAAATAGTGTTCTCCTGTGTGCTTCGGAAATGAAAATAAGATAGAAATAAGTTTAAGATGTATGATAAGAGGGGAATTGTACGAAAGAAAAGGTATAAACTTCATAGACTGGCCTCCACCATTGCCACTTTGCAGTGCTAACAAATAAAACCGAAGTGCCATTAATTTGGTTTTGTTCTTCTAATTCATCAAGTGGCTTGTGCTTTCAACTTTTAGTAAAGTCAAGTATCCTACATTTTATACTCAAATCTATATACAAGACACCTCCTTAAGTAGTTAAAACATTTAGAGAATAGCGTTTTCTTCGAATGGATAAGTTGTCCACATGCCAGAATGGATAATGCTGCTTTGACTGCTAGACGTTTTTGGTATGCTTACAGAAAAGATGCTATGGGTAGAAACCTTGAGGGATTTTTTATTTTTATTTTTTATAATTATTATTATTTTCTATTTATAATATTTTAGGTTGATTTAATATCATCATTGTCTCTTGTAGAACGGCAAAACAGCTGCTAATGCATCTCTTGTGGGTGGAGAGACTGAAGCCTTGCAGAGGCTAAGAAATTTTGCTGCTGAATGCAAGGCCAAACCAAACAATGGTTTCAAAGATGGAGCCAAAGATAGCATTTATGGTGCAAACTTTTCTTGCAAAATATCGCCATGGCTTGCCATGGGATGCCTTTCTCCTCGCTCCATGTTTGACGAGATCAAGAAGTCAGCTTCAAGGTGATTGCAAAAGTCTTACTTGCCATTTGTTTCCTAAATTTTCATTAAAAAAAAAGGTTTTAATAAAATATATGCAAAATTTCCCCTAATATCATGATCTTTTCTGAAATTGCAATTTAATTACGAACCATTTCACTTTTGTAAATTATATAACAATCTTCAGTTTGTTGCAAATCGGTGATAGAGTTCTTAAAACCAACCCTAGAAAAGCTGATGTGGTCGAAGAACAAACTGAAGATTGTAATATAGTTTGCACGGGTTCTGCAAATCGGTGCACCAATTTGCAACAAACTGAAGATTGTGATATAATTTGTAAAAGTAAGGTCGTGATTAAATTGCAATTTCGAAAAGGTCATGATATTGAGGGTAATTTACCTAAAATATAAGTATTCCCATTAGGTGTGATTTCATTAACAATTACTCGAATAGAAAGAATTATTATGGTGTATATAAAATTTCTGTAATGGTGTTTTTTTTTCTTTTCTTTTCCATGATTTGTTTGGCTGATGATAACCTTGTGTTGTTCTGCAGCATGATATCTGGTGCTTCTAATAAGAAAAATGATGCAGCCAGCTCAAATGATACCGGGATGAACTGGTTAATGTATGAGCTGTTGTGGAGGGATTTTTTCAGGTGAATCGAGTTTCTGTTAACCTTTTATATACTGGTAACAGCTATAAGAGTCTTGTATTATCTACGCGGTTATGACAAATTTCCTCTTTTTTCTCAGATTCATCACAAGGAAATACAGTTCGGCCAAACAACATAATCACGCACCAGTGACAGCTTGTACAGGTGCCGCTGCCTGATTGACCGAAAGTATATGAAAAGTGTAACTTGGAAGTTTCCAAGTATGGAGGATTCTCCTTGTACCTTTTCAATTAATCTGATTATCTTTTTGTTGTTGGGAATGAGGAAATTAATTAAAAAAAAAAAGTCATCAGTGACTCGAAGAAAAGAAGAACGTGATTGCATTCCCAGTTAGTTTAGGATTTCAGGCCGAATGCCAATTTGTTGTTCATGAAATGTGGCATTTTGTATGTTTTTAGCAAATTGAGACCTGACATGGGTTAATATGCTCATCAGATGATGTGACATTATCTTCCTGTTCATTTCTTGTTCCATTTCCCCTTTGTGGTTGTTGAGAAATGGTCAATGCTAGGGTTTCATGTTATTGCTGAGTTTACCCTAGTAATTTTGTGCGTGTTCGACTCATAAATTTGTTCCTTTTATATCTTGGAAATAAGTACAGAAAAGTTGTGAAAAAAAAAGAGAGAGAGAGACTGGAAATTATGCGACTGGATATCGGATAATTTTATTTTCATTTGGTTGGACAAAAGTTATTATGTCCTGTAAATATAATCATATATCACACCAGATTCTAAAACAACAAAAACCATATGATTTGGGAACAAAAGAGAGCCAAACCACTGGAAAAATTTACTCATATGAAGCTAGACACCCGTAAAGATGACAATACAACAAAAATAAGCCATAAAGACATGAAATATATGCATGTAACCCAGGCCCATAATCTCGGACCTCCAAGCTCCGCGCCTAACGTAAGACGCCTAAATACTAAAACTCCAATACACCCGACAGATGTAGCAAAGAATACGAGCAACGAGAAGCTGAGCCCACCTGCATTTTCGATCCTCAGTGGCTCCTTATATGCAAAGAAGTTGTATAATGTGTCGATGAGCCAAGGTACACCAATGCCGACATATATATTCACCGAATTACTAGCCATGTCAGGAAAAAAAAAAAAAATGTAAGTATGTAGATATAGACAAGTTTATGCACTTGATTGATATTACATTTTCATTTGAAAAGGGCGAAATTGCATATATAAAATTATAAAGGCACCACCTTTAAGGCTTTTGAAATTTGATCACCACTTTTTGCTATTTGCTATTTGCTAGTTGCGTTTAAATCACCAACTTTCTTTAATATGTTTTGCAGATCGAAACATAAATTTAACTTCCGTTAGATTGGAGCTGGGCGGAAAGTCTACGTTAACTTTATGCTTCAACTTTACATATGAAAGATGTTAATTTAAACGCAAATAGCAAAAGATGGTGATTTAAACCCAAAGAGCAAAAGATTGTGATTTAAACGCAAAAGGTAGTGATTAAACTGTAAAAATCTTAAAGGTGGTGCCTTTATATGCAATTTTGTCTGCAAAACAATCTTGCACAACATAAAACTTGTGAAAAATAGTGGCAAGGACAATAACTGCTTTCGCTAATTACCCAACACTTGTCCATGTGTCCCAAGGTCGCAATTCGTAAAAGAGAAACAAATGTGGAGGGACTATTTGTAACTTTGAAAAGATAAATTTGTGGATTTTGAGATCATGCTAACTATGTACTTTGCATAAGGTTCAAGCGAGCAATGAGCACAACATTTCAACATGAAGACGCATTTTAAAGAAAAAGTAGTATTCGAGCATGAAAAAATTAAAAGGATAGATGGAAATTGAAAACAAGTAAAGAGGAACCTGCAAGTGATATTAGCTATAGCCGAATCAGCTGTGATCTGCCGCTCAGCAGCAATCTTGCTCGCCACCAAATCTGGCCACGATGTCCCGGCAGCCAAAGCTGTAAATGCTATAACATAAGCATCAATACCTGCATTTTGGGCGTTGAATTATTACATAGTCTTGCTTAGCTAAGATATTATGACAGGACCATCAAAAGTGGCATATAATTAATTTTGGCAAAATTGCATATAAAGGCACCACCAGTTTAACGTTTTTGTAATTAAATCACCACCTTTCTCTATTTGAATTTAAATCATCATATCTCATATGTTTTGCAGATCGAAGCATAATTTTAACTTCTTTTAGATTGGAGCTAACTTGGCACGGAAGTTAAAATTATGCTTCGATCTGCAAAACATATGAAAAGTGGTGATTTAAATGCAAATAGCTAAAGGTGGTGATTAAATAGAAAAAGTCTTAAATGTGGTACCTTTATATGCAATTTCGCCAATTAATTTTCTCTTGAAAATATGATGAACCTGTGACACAGCTTATTAGGTCCGTGAGCTTAGTCACAATGTAAGCAATTCCACTTATGAAAACCAAGGACAAAATGAAAGAGACCCATCCATGGGCAATGTGACAAGGTGGAACAAATGCAAACAGAAGTCTCCAGGGTGCAAGGAGCAACTGCCAGAAAGCCTTTGCGGACCTTAGGCATGTATTATTCAGTTTCTTCGCTTGTGGGCTTTCTAGCTGTTCAAAATGAAATTGGAAATTTTTAATTTTTCAATTGAAGTATCGAAAAGGCCACCCCTGAGAAAGAATAGAAGAAGGCGATACAAGGAGAATCCATATTTTTTATAACATTATTAAGGAATATTTTTACAAAAAACATCTCATGAGGTTTGGTCCAAGTACAAAAACTCTAGTTTAACTTTCAAAACTTTAAAGTAACTCTTGAAGTATTAGCTGAGATTTGTGTTTAACTAACAGAAACCCACTCTTATGGGTGCAAATTGGGGAAGAGTAACAAATAACGGGCATTTATAATATGGAAAAATATCAATTCTATTTTTCTGTATGCACATGTGCGTATATTCTGCCTAAATCTACGTCATGGTTTTAAGTAATTATCAAATTATATAACTGCAGATACTTTCGTAAAGTGTGTATACATGCACACACTTCTGACAGGAGGGTGGAACACTAGAGATGAACAGGAAGAACGAAAATGAGCAGTACCACACACGCATCAACAAACTGCTGCTTCCATATTGAGATCAAATTATAATTATCAGGAGTTTCACGGCAAGATTCATCTGAGGGTCCAGTGAGGTCACTATTAGGCAATTTTTGATACACAGGATCTGTTATCAAAGCTTTCAAAGTTAACGTTAGGATGAATAAACTAAATTAAACAATTAGTGCCACACAAGATTCCAAATTAGCTAACATTGGGTAGTGAAAACACATTTTCTCAGAAATATATGCACGTACATGTATGTGTGTGTGGGTGAACTTATCAGCATGTAAGAAACACCAATATTTGAGTCCCGTGCAAGTGTCTTGCCTCAGGTTAAAATCACTAACTCACATAAATTGAGCTAACTGCATGCGTGTATGATTTCATTAAACGATAGAGGAGAATTTATACTATCAGATTGAAAAATCTCATATAGACCAGATTTTAAATGTCTTGACTCAGTTGGCTCAATGAGTGAGGCTTGTCTCCCAAACTAAAAAAGGTTAAACGCCCGATTGCCCAATATTATATGAATTTAGTGAAAGATTTGTTAGGAAAAGGCATATATATTGTTGTGTAGCATATAAAGTGTTTAGACTAGAATGTAAACAAGGCTATTTATTGGGGGAAAAAAATTTAAAATGTAAACAAGACCTAGAGATTTAAGGCGGACAATTCTACCTTTCATATGTCTGTGTGTGAAATAAGAGAAAACAAATGATGAGCATTACCTATGTCACTATTATGGATAGAAAAAACATCAACAATGTCCCTGTTTTCATATTCATCTTCAAGGATATCATGAGCTGCTATTTCATCCCTGTGAGGAGTATTTTCCGCCGGAACCCATTCTTCTGGCCTCTCGGTTCTTTTTCTGATTAATGAACATAAAAATCAAAAGCAAAACGATCACGTCTCTCTTTTTTCCTTATGATAAATGAGTTGCGTAGAGGATAAGGAAAAGAGTCAAATAGTATTAACAGAAGACTAACATCGGCAGAGATAAGTATGGCCAACGCTTATCTTGAGCATATGCATGTAATAGCAACAGCCCATATTGAAGCACGGTCAACAAAGCTTCCGAAAGAGTAATAACATTCGGTGTCCATACCTGCATATTTCTTATCCATAAAATGATAAGATTCGAAAATAGAAATTATATTTCTTAAAAGTTCTATATTCGACTCAGAAAATCACCTCCAATATTATATATAACCAGATGTAAGCCCAGAAAGACCAAAAAAGCTCTACAAGCCATACTCCAATATCTGCTATCTTTTTTAGTTCTCCAGCTTTAGGAACCACAACACAAACAGCATGGATGGGAAACAAATCAAAAGCAGCAGATCCAACAAGTGTTCCAGGTCCTAAACCTGTCATTCAAAGTGATGGGAACATTATTACTACAGGTAAAATGCAGAGATTCTTGACAAAAATCCCATGATGTATTAAAAAAACCGGCATGAATCCTTTGCAATATATCATAGAATTTAAAAGGCTTGGCATGCACAGATCAAAAGATTAGAAAAGTGCAATAGTGTTTTTTTAGTTCTCATATGCAGAACTTTGTATAATTATCAGTCACATGATGTATTAAAAAAAAATGGCATGAATCCTTGGCAATATATCATAACATTTAAAAGGCTTGAAATGCACAGATCGAAGATTAGAAAAGAACCAAACATAGAGCAATAGTGTTTCTTTAGTTCTCATATGCAGAACTTTGTACAATTATCAGCAGGAATACTATTATAATGTTGAAAAGAAAATTCCCATATGCATACGACAGGAGAGAGAGAGAGAGAGAGAGAGTTAACCTCCAGCATACAAGTTTCCAAGATTCCTTATGGCATCAATGGTAGCCAAAGATATCTGCGGAAAGCTAGTACCAAATGCCAGCAAACTAATGTCAGCTATGGCGTAATTCCAAACTTTTTTGCGTCTAACGATTTTGGTATTAGTATAAGGATCTATCTCTTCAACTGTCCGAGTATGCTTAACAACCGTTTCCATGGACTTGAAGAAACGGGCAGTTATAGCTGATAATCCAATAAAACAGTATGCAAGAGCCAGGAAATACAAGAATCCTCGAAAACCATTACCAAGCTTAGTTTCACCGTGAAAAAGTAAATAAAATTGGCACTTCTTCATCCCAAGTACATCAGAACTTCCTGCGTTTACGAAAGTGCTGTTACTAAGAGGGCCCATCTCCATAAGGTTGTTAAATATTTTTGCACCAATCACCCGTGACAAATAAACAATCCCCACGATGAAATTTCCTGTTACACATTTTAAGTCCATCAGCAGTATACTCGTGAAGTAAGCATCAGATAACAAGACATCTTGCAAGTAAATACTAACTTTAAGCTATCATAACTTGAAAGTTGAAACTGATGAAGTTGAAAGTCATAACAGTTAAATATTTTACTAAAAGTAAAACACCAAACAATTTGCTAACAGTTGATTTTCTTAGTTGGGCAACTAAACATTAACCTTCAGAAATTGAGGTTCATTCATCAAGCAGGCTAGCGAGATATGAGTTTATAAGAAGATGATAACACGATAAACCGACACTATAAACACAAAGCAAAAACAGAACTGCCCAACAATTTGCAAACAGTCCCTAAAATGACAACAATAAGTGAAATGAGCCTATCCACCACAGGAATTCGCCATTCCACAGCTGTCTGATTCATATCTACAACACCAAACACATAATTATGCAATTCATTGTAATAGAACCTAAATCAAATCAAAGATGCACTGTACCAATTAATCCAGGTCCCACGATTCAAGTAATTTCAGCTACAAAATCATCTATTTAGCTGCTATTGAATAGAACACCAAACAATTTGCAAACAATTGGAATAATTAATTTTTTTATTTGGACAACTAAACATAACCTTCTTAATTTGAGGTTCATCCATCAAGCAGATACAAGCTTATAAGACAATGATAACACTGTAAACGAACGCATTATAGACACTCACCGAAAACAGAATTGCCTAACAATTTGCAAACAGTTCCTAAAAAGACATCCAAAGTGAAATGAACCTATCCTCTGCCAGATTCTGCCATTTGTTAGCTGTCTGGTTCATATCTACAACACCATAAACATAAATAATGCAATCGATTGTACTAAAACCTAAATCAAATCAAAGACGCACGGTACCAGATAATCCAGGTCCGACGATTCAAATAATGGCAGCTGATAAATCATCTAGTCTAGCTGCTAGTGAAGAGAACGGCTAAATACTTTGTTAAAAGCAAAAACACCAAAACTCGAAATCGCTAGAGAACAAAAATCCTTGTCCTTCAAACTTTCGGGAACATTTGGCTTAGAGGAATGAAGGCGTCGAGAGCTAACCGGAGACAGCGTGTCTCCGGTGGAGATGTCCGGTAACACCGCCACGAGTATAGTTGGATTGTTGGAGGTAAGAAAACAGTTTTGAGATTAATAAATACTCCCTCCTATTTATTTTTAATAGACGTCAATTTTGAGAAATTACATAATAATTAAGAATATTTTTTTATCAATAATAATCCTCGTTAATAAGGGTAGAGATTGATGTTTTGAATAAAGATGGAGAGTGAATATGAAAAGACGTAATGTATTTATTAGTTAGATGAAGGTAATAATAGAATAATATGTATAGCCAAAACGATATTTATTTAACAAATTATCAATTAAGCTAGGATGACAAATAATAAAAATAGGAGGGAGTATATTTTATTATTTGTTCCGATTAGTAAATATTTTATTACTTCGTCAAACAATTTAATAGGTGGATGTACTATAATTTTAAATTTAAAATATGAATTTATTGTTTCAGATGCTTTAGAAACAGATTAAAAACCTCCAAATAAGACTAATAAAATAGGAAACGACAAATTAAAATTTACAAAGTAATTAAAATAATAGTAGAAAATTTTCGTTTGAGCTTATAATTATAGCTTTATAGATATGGATAACATGTTATTTTGATTTTATTTTTTGAAAAAAAAAAATGCCTTTGGGATTTGACTGATTTATATTAGAACTTTTAACGGTAAATTATTGCGTAACCGATATCCCTCCACTCAAATTAAGTTCTTATGTGGATAATGAGATTCTGCGTTTAATTTCACTTTAGCTAATTTTAATTTCTATGGTTAAACAGGATCACCAACAACAACAACAACAACATAACTTCTAGTCCCAAGCAAGTCGAGGTAGGCTAGAGATGAAACTCAAGAGAAACAATGGAAATGGTTAAACAGAGTATGCCTTAATATTGTTTTTCCAATAAATGTGAACACTTTATACTAAATGTCAAAACTTTAATCAAAATAACGATATTTTTATATTTACAAATTGATCTATTTAACTATTATCTTATACCAATTATTGAGAGCATGAAAACATTAATTTCCTAGCAGTAGCACTACCGTGTGCCCTGGCACACCTAGCTAGGTGTGCCATGGCAAATTTGCACGCGCCCCCTCACCCTAAAAAATTAGAAAATTTAGAGAGTGTAGTGCACATTCCCATTTTCCTTTTTTAATTGAAAAATGAGACATATTACATAAATTAAAATATCATTAATTATTTATATTAAAAAAATAAAATAAAAATACCAAAATTCATAATTTTTCATTATCTATAAATAGAGATCACATTTGATAGGTTTTTTAACACAACTAATTTTTCGTTTTTTCGTAATTATTTTATTATACTGACATATAATGAACATGTTAAATAACAAGATGAATATATTTTCAAATAAGATGAACATGTTACAGATTGCAGATTGAAATAATACATATTCATCTTATTTTATAACATGTTCATCTCATTTTGGTAACATATTCATCTTATTTTATAACATGTTTACCTTATTGTGTATGTAACATGTTCATCTTATTCTATAACATGTTCATTTTATTATGTAACATGTTCATCTTATTTTATAACATGTTCATTTTATTATGTAACATGTTCACCTTATTGTGTGTGTAACATGTTCATCTTATTCTGTAACATGTTCATTTTGTTATGTAACATGTTCATCTTATTCTATAACATGTTCATTTTATTATGTAACGTGTTCATCTTATTCTATAATATGTTCATTTTATTATGTATCATGTTCATCTTATTTTAGAACATGTTCATCTAAATTTCATCTGTGAAAATGTAACATTTTCATCTTATTTTATGACATGTTCATCTTACTCTATAACATGTTCATCTTGTTATGTAACATATGCATCTAATTATAGATTTGCGTCATAATCTTCCATTAAGATAAATTAATTGTGTTCCAAAAAATATCAAATGTAGTCTCTATTGGTAGAGAATGAAAAATGATGAATTTTGGTATTTTTATTTTTATTTTTTGATACAAAATATGAATGATAATTTAATTTATATAATATGATATTGAAATTCATTATCCAATAGAAATAGGACACATGTCCCATTTAAAAAAAAATACTCTACCTCCTTACCTCACGCGCTTTTGAAGGAATTGTATTTCACAAAAGGCCTTGGTGTGTCCTAAGTATTTGCGATTTCCTAGACCCACATTTAGTCATTATTGCGAGTTGCGACGACCATCTGCTTAACCACATAAGTTGCTATCGTTAATTCGTTATATGCCTTACGTAGTTTGTTACTTCGGATCAATTTTCATATTTCAAAGCCTTTGAACAGAAAGAGAGACGTGGGATACTGTCGGCCAAGTACATTGATATCGTTGCTCTTATGTTTATTACAGTTCTCGTCATTAATAATTTGGTTTTGGTTACTATTCAACGATTTTAATATTTGTATAAAGTAGTGCTTTGTTTTACAATGTACAATATTGAGTTCAGCATGAATTCTATTTCCAAATTTCAAAATTAAGACTTGATTGGAAATACCTTTAAAATTTACTAGTGGAATATACATTTGGATAATTTATTAATGTTTGGTGTTAAAAATAAAAATGAACTAATGGGGAAGTTTATACTCTCCAAAAAGTTCATTCCACAAAGTAAAGACTTTTGGAGAAATTTATTTTGCAAAATTACATATAAAACACCCAATAGTTCATTCCCGGTGTAAAGACTTTTGGAGAAATTCATTTTGCAAGACTACATTTAAAACACCCAATAGTGTGTCGGCTGTATGTAAGCGTTGATCAGATCATATGATTATAACCTCCATGGGAGCACATCCACAACTTAACCCTGACAATTTATAAAAAAAAAAAAAAAAAAAATAAAAAAAAAAAAAAAAAAAAATCTGAAAGTAAAAGTTTAGGTTCTAAACCTAATCCCATATTAATCACAAGCGGATGACTTTCCAAGCAATATCATACTTGATATGGTCTACTGTGATTACAAAACCTAATTTGGTTCTTGTGACATGCGAGTTATCCCCATAGTAAATATGTCACATAAAAGCATTGAGCTAAGAACGAGTTAAAAACCTATTGTGGCTCGAGTAAATGTAACTCAAAAGGGTAACACAAAACGTCTCTTTAACCAAAACTGCAATCTCATAAATAAATCCAAGCAAGCAAACTTGACAAAATGGAGGCAAACCGAAGAGAAACATGAAAAAATGATGTAAAACTTAGTCTTCTTCTTCTCCCTCTTGCTCGGCAATGTTGAAGTAGCGTAGTTCATAAACATTGCGCTCTTTGTTTGCAGCAATCACCCGAAGCCAATCCCTCACGTTATGCTTCTTCAAGTATTTCTTGGTCAAATACTTGAGGTACCTAATAAGAACAAATAAAAAATCCAAATAATGGCACACGGAAAAACAAGTCAAAAAATGCATACCCTTTTCTATACATTTTCCTAGTTCTTTTCTTTTTGAATGAGCAAATATCCCTCTCTTGGCTATATTCATCTCTTCCCCCATGATTGAACACAAGATAACAAGTATTTATTCAAATAAAGCGATAGAATTAGCATTCAACACTTCTAAAATTCACAAATTTTCCAAATTCTGAATTTCAATTTTCATGTTCGAACCAAAACAGGTAATATTCAACACTAAAGGAAATTGCGGCGTTAATCAGAAGCCACCAATGGACAAAGCATAGGACTACTTGCAATAAGGCAATACTGGACAAACTGGCTGCCACAGAAATTCCGAAAAATGTTTTTAAGGTCTTGCATTACCAAAGAATCATAAATCCACTTCTAATTTATTTTGTTTTCTCCTCAACCCGTCTCTAAACATCGGGATTCAAATGAAAGGTAAAACTACACCAAATTCTTGTATAAGTCAGCCTAAATTAAACTTGTCATACATTTTCAAACAAAAGTGCATACTTATGTTATGAAATGTCACTTTTATTTATGTTGTTGCATGACATTCCAATTTGAAAGCAAATATATCAACTGAAAAGGTATGACTACCTAATAATACATGGTTACCACCAACCTTGCTAATACTCTGATAGCGAATATAATCACCTAGAATGAAACACAATCAAGTCTTCAACCTACATGATGAACTACTAGAAAGCCACACATAACATCCAATGCAGCCCAACATCACCAACAAAAAAGTAAAAAACAAAAAAGCATGAGCAAAAAACACCAGCAGCAACAAACACACAGGCTCCCAGAAAAAAAAAAAAAAAAGAACAAATAAACCCACGAATTCAAAGAAAACAAGCACAAAATTTCACCACCTTTTGGAGAAGTTAGAATCAGCGGTGACGGTGATCTTGTTTTTGTCGCGGGAGATGGTCACCGACTCGCCGAGAGCGCCGGCTTTCCCGCCAACCTTGATTCTCTCCTGAAGGAACTTCTCGAGCGAGGCGATCTCCATGATCTTATCCTCCACCGGCTTCGAGCAGTCAATCACGAAGCTTACACCCTTCTTCTTCCCGCCTTTCGCCGCTGCCGTGCCTTTACTCATCGTTCTCCGCCGTTTTCCTGCAAGCCTGTCGGCCGTGAAATCTAACGCCGGCTGTGTGAAGTATGTGTTTGAAAAGCGAGTGAGATGTGATAAAAGAGGAAAAGTGGGAGCTGCCTATCTAGGGTTTTGCATTTGGTCTCGGGTTGAACCGGCCTCGTTGCGCCTTTGCATTTTAATCGAACGGATTCTTTACTTGAACCGGCTCCACCGAACCAATTTTTTATACTCTAAAATAAATGTGGATATCTATAAGTATATAATTGCTAGTAAAGCAATTAATAAATTTTTTTTTATTTTTCTTTCATTTTTTGTTACTTTTGTATTAATTAAACAATTGTATTTTCTATTTATTTTATTATATAATATTTGTTTTATTATATAATTGTTACTATTAACTAATCGTGGAGTCGCATTAAATGTTACTCTCAACCCTATAAAGGATATGTTAAGCATAGCATCCGGGTAAACGGCTCGTTCCCTTGCTTGCCTAGCTGGTTTAGAAGTGACAGGTTGTCCAGTTAACTTTTGTATTAATCAAACAATTGTATTTCTATTTATTTTATTATATAATTGTTACTATTAACTAATCGTGGAGTCGCATTAAATGTTACTCTTTTCTAAAGATTTTTTCAAATTATTTATTAAAAATTATTTTTTTTCAATTCATTAAACAAGTCTTTTTATTGAAAATTAAAATGAATTAATTATTATTTTTGACATAATCAAACTATTTAAAATTTTGTGCGTAATTGCTATAATAATAATTTTAATATTATTTTATTCAATTAATTGGTCATAGTCAGTCAAAACTGTATCAGTTAAGATTAATATGTAAGTTAAATTGTTTATATTTATATTGTTATTAATGATAAAATATATAAAATGCGATATGCTCATTATCTAATTTATGATTTTAAATATTACATAAACACACATCTAACCTAAAATTTTATTTATAATATTTATGCATGTGCACAGGATGAAATGCTAGTAGATTTGATTGCCCCTAATCCGATTTTATGAACCGGTTGAGACACTGGTCGAACGCATGTGTAATTTGAGATCGGGATGAAACGGTTTTGAAACCATGTTGATTCAAAACAAAAACTTTATTTTTCAAATCAAATTTTAGAAAATCAACTTGGTAGAATGTCCGTCAATATATTATAACCCAAATAAATTGCCAACAATATAGTTCTTATAGACATGACAAAGTACATAAATTCGATTGTGACAAAATTTTGTTAATAAATTTTAAAATCATCAGATGAGATGATAGAGTTTATTGTTGACTTGGAAATTGAATTGGTTTTGATGTTTAGACCTTTTGATTATTAGAAATTCTCGTTTGACCCCATCAGACAATTAGGTGTCGATCAGTCATATTACTCGAACTAAAATACATACTTATATTGTCAAAAGACGTATATTTATGTTTGTTGTGTTCTTAATTATGCACTTTGCAAATGAAATAAGTCGACATAATGATTAGACTAGTCTAACACAAGATCAATCGATTAATTTGAGTTATTAATTTTAAATATGTACTTACATAGTGAATATATACTATGATTACAATTAAACTGATACAACATGGTGATGAAAATATATGAATCCGATATTGTTTTAAATGGTGGAATACAATTCTAGCATTAGTTATCGATTCTTAGTGATTTTATTCCCTAGCTTTGATTGTAGGCTATTATGTATAATGGTGCTCTATAACAAGACTGGGACTGCAAACGAGCCGAGCCGAGTCGAGTATTGGCCTTATCGAGCAGGATTGACCTTTTTTTTTTAGCTGCTCGAGCTCGACTCAATAAGAAAATACAAGAGCTTGAGCTCGGCTCGAATTCATAATGCTCGAGCTTGGCTCGAGTTCGGTTAAAAAAATTTCAAGCAATTTTGTAAAATTACCATTACGTACATATATTAATATTATGATACGTATATATACAAAGTTTATTTTAGTAATTTAACATAATCTCGAGCCGCTCGCAAGCCGCTCGACAAGGCAAAATTTAAGCTCGAGCTCGACTCGAGTTCGTGCTTAAGCTGCTCGAGCTCGAGTCGAGCTTTGATTAGAGCGCTAGCGAGCAGCTCGGTTCGTGTGCAGCCCTAAACAAGACTTCTGTATTAATGTTAGTTAGTTGTTTATATATTAGATATAGTTTATATTGTTTCCAAACAATCAGTAATAAAATAAAATAATATTATCAAATAATAGCTTTTGCAACAGAGACCTTAAACATAAACAAATACTTCCTCCTATTTTTAATAAATGTCGTTTTGAGAAGTTGCGCAATAATTAAAAATATTTTTTTTTTGTCAATAATAACCCTCATTAATGAGGATAGAGATTGATGTTTTGAGAAAAGATGAAGAGTGAATATGAAAAGACGTAATGTATTTATTAGTTATATGAGAGTAATAATGGAAAAATATGTACAAAATAGCCAAAACGACATTTATTTAACAAATCTATACTTATATAATAAGAATTAACATTTATCCAAAATAGTACGTCAACTTATGGTCAATGTTGGATTTGCATTAAATATTTTTCAAAACCGGTAAGTTTTTGTCCTTTTAACACTTCTCATTAATTATGTCATTTTCACACATCTAATTAAATCATTCCATATGAGCTTTTATCGTTAAAATGTATAGCGATCTGTTATGACCTTATCCTATTGAGATTTCCATGAAGCGTCCTTATCGCGTTCTATTTTTTGGTAACCACTCTATATCAATAACCAGATATTTGATTAATGATAGCACACGTCTTTATTTCAAGGAGCGGATATTCTTTGACCTTTAATTAATCTGAACTGATTACTTGACTTTTCAATTTTTAAAAACTCTTTTTTTAAAAACTCTTTTTTTATCGCACGTTGGTCTTTTCCTGAATAAACCCGTTTTTAGTCACAGCCAATTATATGTTGCTGCTTCGCGTGTAAACAATAGAAGGGGGTTGAAAATATTAGTTTGTGATAATGAGGAGTTACCAAATAATCAAACTCATAATGTTGTGTATGAGGAAGTTTTTAATAATTTATGATTGTCCGAACTTTTTATGATTCAACAATGTTCCAATGTATTTTAATGATTTCAATTTCGATCCTAATGCACGTGAGATTATATTATTCTTCCATATTTTACATTCCGTGCATCGCACGAGTTACGAACTAGTGATCAATTAAGCTAGGATGACAAATAATAAAAATAGGAGGGAGTATAAATTATTTTGTTGCCCAATCCACTATTAAATGTATACTCCCCAAATTGGGGCCTGTAAGCCAGAGGCAGACTTAAATAAAGTCCATACACTCACGGCCCAGGTGAAAATCAATAATAATCGAATTAAATCATATGAAAATATTCGCGGAAAATGAATTTTATGAAAATATAAATACAGTGCAATTTTCCCGCACCGCGAGCAAAAAGCGACTGGTAAAAGGCGGTCTCACGCCACAGCCGCCGGCGGCCGGAAAGAGAGTAATCGCCATCAGACTGAAGGTAATTGACCTCATCAAACCATGGATGATCCATCAGATTCGGCACCGTGTTCATCTCTAGCCGTCGATTACGTCTTACGCACGAGCTACGTAAGCACCCTAATTCCATCTCTTTCATTTTGCCGCCTGTTTGCTCAGTTTTACAGATTGCGTGGTTTTATCGCTTTTAGTTGATGATCTCACAATTACTGCTGGATTTTTGAAGAGAGATTTTTAAATGCAGGCTGGAGCTATTTGGGGGTTTTGCTATGGCCCATTTGATGCTAAAAGTCTCGGTAATTCCACTTACACACAGTCTCACAATTACAAATTTACTGTCAATGCAACTAAGATTGTTGTAAGAGATAAAGATATGTGTGTGAATTCACAAACATGTTACGTAATTGTCTTAGTTTAGTGGTTTTTTTCTGGATTTTCCAGTGTGCACAGGAGAAAAGGTTGCTGAAGTTTAGTGTTTGTGTGTGTATACTAAGTACTGTATGAAGAGAAACTGTATTACAATTCTTGCGGAACCTCTCGATTGAATGTTTGTTCTTATTTTGGTTTGTGGCAAATACTCGTAGGTCTATCTAGCAGTGCTCGAGCCGCACACACTGTAAGCTACTCAACCATTATAGTTGTTCTCTTTATTGGTATTTCCATTTTTTTGGTTGTTTCAGTTTAAATCGTTGGTCGTCAGTCTGATTAATTCTGCTATTCTGTTTTAAATGCAGGCCAAGTTAGTGGGGAAGTATGGCTTTTCATGTGGTAATTACCAAATGCGTTGTGTGTTCTATTTGCTCATATTTTTCACTGCAGTACAATGCTATATCAATTTTTTGTTATGTGACCACTCAACCAATTTCATACCAGATCCATTGAAACAACTGTATTTATCTTCATTGTGTTTTATGAGTTCATTAAAGCATCAAAAGAAAGTAGCATTGGGTGATGAAGAAACTTGTTAACTCTTTTCTATGTCTGTGTTTGATGTGTACTCCAACACCCCATCCACAGTGTCATTCTTGTCATAGTATACGATAATTGAACAGTTTCCAATTGAATGACGTTTTTTGGATTCCTTCTCATTTATAGGATTATTTGCTGCGTTATTTTCTTTCACTAATTGTGGAGTACAAAGGTATCGGCAGCGGAAAGACTGGGTTAGTAAAAATTTATCTTTAGTTTTGAATTGCTTGTTCTATATGAGTTTGTCATTGACTATGAATTTCAAACTAGACTACTTTTTGTTCTTTCTATAAGCTTCTGAGTACCTGTTTCGTTTAAATCATTTACAAGAGATGACATAGAAGTTTTAGATAGCAATTTTTTTTGTATCTGTATGGAAGTTCGTGATTTTCTAGTAGCTTTAGAAGACTTTGAGATCATTTTTACAAGTTACAGCAAATGTTTTAAACTAAAGAGGTTCTTATAAACATGATAATTTCGCTGTTAGAGACCTTGGTGTTCTGTAGGAAGTTATTCATGCGTTTCTATCCCTTTTCATCAATAATTTATATGAACGATCACATTTCTTCATTTGTTAAGACCCTAAATTAAAAGCATAAGAATAGTGAATATATCAGTCGCTCCTTCACGATATCATTGTCATCAGGAAGAAGAGGAATTGTTTAGCATTGTTTGATCCAGTTACATTGCCCACAGAAGCTACAAATTCAGAGTTATGTGACCTGAAAATTAGTTTTAGAATGCCATTTCTTTCACTATTTTATGTAATTTCTCTTTAGACCTGCTCAGGTAGATATTCTCTTTATAATGGGGTTTAAGTCCATAAATTATGCTAAAATTGGCCCTTGTTCATTAATGTAATGTTTTGAATGCCACTCCTTTATTCCTGTAGAATGGACATATATATTTGCCTGCGACTCTCGAGTATATTTTGATTGTCAAGAATATACTGTGTTCAAGTAGCTCCTTACTAATGGTTAAACTCACAGTTTCTTTTTCTTAAAATGAAATGCCTTTAGGTGAATACCTTGGCAGCTGGCGTTGTTGCTGGTGCTGCATTTGGTGCCGGAACCCGAGATTGGAAGCAAGTTGCTGGTATTACCGGTCTTTTTTGTACATTTGTCCAATTTGCCAAGGACTCTACATCTGTATGATGCAAAGTTGGAAAAAAATATCAGGGATATTGAAGTATAATGTTAACCCCAAGGGCATGCTTGCATAGAAATATATCCACTCAAAATGGGTTTTTTTATTAACCAATGTTTATTTTGAAAAATGTGGTAATTAGTTAAAATTACCTTTAAAATAAAATAATTAAAGTTGTTTGATGTAAAATGAGAGAGATAATGTGAAGTGATAATTAGTTAAAATTATGTGAGTAGATGAATAATGAATTGAAGTTGATGTGATGTGTAAGAATGATTGATTGATATTATTTAATCATATTAACAATATTGAGGATAGTGAGATTAAATTAAAGTCGAGTTAGATTTTGAATATAAATTAAAAATAATATTTTTATAATAATTCAGTTGTACTGATTTATTCATATATTATGAAAATAAAATTGAGACGAAAGGAAACTATCGAATTTTAAAAATAAAAATCGATAACCAAACTAACATAAAACAAAACCAAAATATGCATGTCGATTGGTTTTTTCGATTTTAACCAAAATTTCAACCGCCTGCAAGTTTGTTTTATTTCATTTTTGCTCACTAACCAAACAAAAAATAAACATAACATATTTTATTTGATTAAAATTCATTCGAATATGTTATCAATATATATTAATTAAATCGAAAAAATCGGTTCAAACTATCACAAATGGATTTGGTATAGTTGGTAGAGATTCACCTGATTCACAGCTAAAAGACATAAATAACCAACTCTTAATAACTGTGTGTACATACTTTAATAACAAAATACCCACCTCGGCATCCCTCAAACCAAACCCATATATCGTAAAAATTCGCAGCTTGAAATCCTAATCCTTTCACAATTGCTTGCTTCAAATTTGAAATAGCTTTTTTTTATATCTCTCATCTCAACTTTTACTAGTTTCATGATTTTTCTTTTTTCCACTTATGTGTACCCACAAAAAAAAAAACCACACAAAAGTGAAGCAAATATGCACCCAAAACAAAAGCCGCGCGAATCTCAGTACGGCTCGCACTTGCTCAAATACGCACCTGATTGAACTAAAAGTGAAGCAAACTTCATGGAGGGAAAAAAGCACTCTGAAAAATTATGGTAAAAAAAATTATGTACTCTGCATAACCAAGAATTAAAAGAAAAACAGAAAAAGTTAAGTGATAAATCTTAAAAGAAAAAATATAGGAGAAGAAGGAATTAAAAAAGGGTAGATAGGTGATGGGAAAGTAGAGATACAAAAGCATCTCCAATGAGTTATTAATTGTAGAAATGTGGAATAAGTTCAATAAAAAATGTCTCCAATCGTTAATGTGTAGATTCTATTCATAATGACATGGCAAGATAGAGAAAGAATAAAATCCAGAACTCCTTCTACATGTAGAAGTCATGTTAGACATGAATGAAATCCAAAACTCCTTCTACATGTAGAAATCATGTTAGACATGATAGATCCATATTTTATAAGTTGAATAAATAAACCACTGTAGACTTTTTATGTGTTTGAACATCTATTCTTTACACGTAAATGAAAGACCATCTATTTAATTGCCACATGCACTACAATTTATGCTTGCCATTGGAGATGCTCTAAAAGAAGGTTGCCACATGCACTACAATTTATGCTTGCCATCGGAGATGCTCTAAAAGAGGAGGATGAACCGTTTCATGGTTTTTTATTAAAAAGTAAAAAAGCTAGAATTTTCTAAAACCTAAAACCCCTAAAGAGTCCACAAAAAGAGTATAATTGAAAACAAAAGGACTCATATTGGCTAAATAATATGTGAGTAATTAATGTAAAACGTTTAAACAAAAAGATAAGGGGTGTCATTAAATCCCTGATTCACCCTAGCGTAATGGGCTGCACGACACCTTGTATTCATTTAGAGACGATGGGCAGCCCAATTTAATTTTTTCATTGAGGCCCATGGTTGGCCCATTTACTTCTATCAATACTTTTAAAAATTTCTGGGGCATTACACGCGCTACAGCCTCCGTAGTTCGTCCTTCTACCGGCCAAGCAGAGAACTTCAGGTCGCCGTAGCCCTCGCCGTAAAAAAACCACTAATCGTCGCCGGTGAATTTTCCCTTCATCACTTTCTCTCAATTTCTTGTATTTTGACGTTTTTCGCGTTTGCGAATATAGTAATAGTTTTTATTTGCGCAGAGTTTTTCGCTTTCTATCTAAAACCCTAACATTTTCAGGGGACTCGTATCGAACTCCTTATCCAGAGATCATATATTAGCTGGATATGAGGTGAGTCGATATGAAGTGATTTCTGTTCTGCTTTTGAAATGCCATTTTTGGTTGGATGTGAGTAAAAGAGATTGGTACTGATTTTGTGATTTTCAGTTATGGAGCATTTTTCTTTGAATGATTTACATTATATCCTAGTTTGTAATAGTTTAAGTTGGCAATTTTATGTAGTAAAAGAGATTATTCTTGTTTTTGTTTTTTCAGATTTTAGTTTACTTTGAATTTGCTGACATTTTGTTTTGTTATTCGTGTATCTGCAGTCGGCCAATGGATGAGGATGTCCCTGTAAGATATCTTAGCCTTTTTATTTTTTCTGGTGTCACCTGAATTGTCTTGAGTGTGTGTATGTGTGTGTATTGGCACCATTTTAAGTATGTAGCTTTGGCTATGTATCCCTAATGTGCTTGTAGCACATTCTAACTTGTTTTGAGTAAAATGGTGTTTATTGAACATGAAGGCTATGTGTGGTAACTTATATCTCATTTGATTAGCTTATAAGCTTCCTGCATTCAAATAAGCTTGGTTTGGTGTGACGACCTTTTTTAAAAAACTAGAACTTATCTCATAAGCTTCCTTGGATAGCTTTTCAAATAAGTCCAACTAGCTTATTAGTTAATTTACCAAACATTTTTATCATATAAGCTAGTTTTTTAGCTATAAGTCATAAGTCATAAGATATCAATTATAAGCTCGAAATTCACTTAAAAGCTATTAGCTAGCTTATTGAGGTTATCTAGGTTTACCAAACATAGCCAAAGTCAATAGGTTTGGGCACTCTAAACATGAGGTTCTCACCTTAATACTATTTGTGTGGCATGTGTTTGCCTATTTGTGTTGAATGTGTGCTCTTGTAGTTAAATCAGAAAACATCTTTATTCCTTTGCCCGACTTCACTTTGTGAAATGCTCTTTGCAGGGGAAGAATGAGGAAGAGGAGTTCAACACAGGACCATTGTCTGTGTTGATGATGAGTGTTAAAAATAACACACAGGTATTCACTAATGCCTTTTATGTCTCACCTTTACAACGATTCTCCATTTTTCTCTCTCCTGCTTACCCATTTTGTTGCACTTTATTATAGTCGTGTTGTTTCACCTTGTTGCATGAATGGAGCTGTGGGAGGGTTTTCAAATCCTTTTTGTCATTTGAATTATATGTTTATGGATTCTAGGTCCTCATCAACTGCCGCAATAACAAAAAGCTTTTGGGCCATGTGAGGGCCTTCGATCGCCACTGCAATATGGTGCTAGAAAATGTGCGGGAAATGTGGACCGAGGTTTGTTGTTTCTTATTATCTTTCCTTCTTGGCTTGATTTTATCTTCTTTTGTTTTTCTGGGTATTTACAGTTATTATGCGAGGTTTAAGGTTCTAAAGGCATTATCTTTTGGTACTAATGCCGTATTCGGTTCATTAAACCTTGGATAGGTGCCCAAGACTGGGAAAGGCAAGAAGAAATCTCTTCCGGTGAACAAGGATCGCTTTATTAGCAAGATGTTTCTTCGTGGAGATTCTGTGATCATTGTCCTCCGAAACCCCAAGTAAAAGGTATCTGACATTGAGTGAATTAGTATTGATTTATCTCAAAGATGGTGTGTACATGTGAGTTTGCATGATTTTCAATAATTTCTGATAATTAGCAGTTTTAGTATTGATCTATCCTCAACATGGTTACGCTTGGTCATGGCTTGCCTCTCTGCTTGTTGGCTGAGAAGTGAGAAGGCTTGCAGTTGGTGTTTAAAAGTCATTTTTTTTTTTTTTCTTTTGCTTTTGTTTAAACAAGCCTACAAGTTTAAGGATTAAGTTCTGGAGGTTGTTATGTCTCGAATGCATTTTCACTTGTGTTGGACTGTTGGCCATTTGTTGCAGGTTTGTAGTACTCTTATGGGGGTTTGATTTCGTGGCCTGCAGAATACTGATAATCTGATGGTTACGTGACTTTGTGACTTTGCAACTATTTACGCTTGATAAACTTCTATCTTTCTGAATTGATTGTAGTTATTTTGACTTGAAATATTGAAGGACTAATATGTACGCTTTTGTTGAAATTAGAAGCTTGGGATTTTTTTCTGCGTTTTGTTGTGGGATTGTTTTTTATAGTGGAGGCCCCATTAAATCTGCATCAACTTATTAGAATAACAAGTGCATTATTCTTCATTATATCTTTCCAAATAATTATATCTTGATTTGACAAATTTCTGTCTGCACTCATTGAATCATAACAAAAACAATTCAAGTTCAAACGATATTTATCGGCGTGCAAGTTGCACATCGAATGTGATGTCTTTATTACCTCTGTAGCTCATGAATCTTGAGAAAATTGGACTAAAATGATAGATAGTAACAATGTGAAATATACTCTGAAGTAGCTAAATAGCAAGAAATGCATCATCCTACTGTACCCCAAAGGTCCCGGAAAGTAGATAAACCGGTGGCTAGCCGTCTTTTGTAATAACAACCGTCTATATGCTAGTGAAACTCTTGTGGTTTTCTTCATCAGGCGGAAGATGAAAAATCTTTGTTATGGTGATCACCAATGGTTTGTTGGGCTGAGTCCGAAACATCTTTATGGTCACCAAAGATGCGTTTGCTAAAGTCCGAGACCATCATGGGTAGACCTTTGCGTAGAGGCACTTTGGGCTCCCAACCCAATAGGTCTTTGGCCTTGGAGATGTCGGGCTTCCTCTTGTGCGGGTCGTCCTCTGTGTTGGGCCGAAACTCGATTCTTGCATTTGGATCAATGGTTTCTTGAACCACCTGTTCAAACCACAATTGATTACGAAAAATTGATAAGGTGGTGATTAGATATAAGTTATTTTGGTTTTAATTTGATTTGCTGAATAACCAGAGTTATTTTTAAAAAAGTGATTAATTTGAGTTTGTATTAAAATAATATTTGAAATATAATGATTAAAATTGATTTGATGTAAAAGTAGAAAAAATGTGATTGAAAGTGATGAGTAGTTAAAATTATGCAATGTGTGAGGATGATTGATTGATATTATTTAAATCATATCGATACTATTAGGGAGTGTTGGTTTGAGTGTTGGTTTGAGTTCAATTTGAGTTGAAAAAATTATCTAGCTAAACGCTAAAAGTGATCACATTATCTGTCTCCAATCAAGACCTGAGAAACTCAATGATATCAATGCAAACGAGCAAAAAAAGGAAGAAGAAAAAACGGAAAAAAGAAAACAGTGTGGGAAACCAATCCAAATACCTGCGCAAGTTCAAGCATTGTAAATTCCCCTGGATTTCCGAGATTGAATGGTCCAATGTGCTCTCCTTCCATCAACCGCATGAGTCCTTCAACCTTTGAATTTCAGAAGCATAATATGTATTAAATAAGGTTATATATATAGTTCATCATCACATGATTCATTCATAATCTTACATTCCCATTTTGTTGTTTGCAGTCTACAGCGCAAAAAGAGACTTGCAGCCAATCACAACAATCGATTTCGATTAACGACAAGGCCAATGTAACTAGCATCATAAAGAATTTCCTCATAATGTGCTCATCAAATACCCTTATACTAAGCAACATAATTGTGTGTTATATGGCAACTTCAGATATATAACCTTCATCAATGTTTCCAAAGTTTTGTTTAAGCTACTAATTTCTAAAGCCTCTTCTGCACATTAACACATGAAGATGTATTTGTTGAAAAGAATATATCTGCCTAACGGTTAGGCATTACAATATATTTCACATTTTAAGTTGCAGTTGCCGAATTTTAGCAACTCGTCAAATTGGATAAACACAACGAAAAATCTTTTGGAGGAAAAAGGTAACAAACAATACCATAAAAGATTTTGGAAAGGCTTACCAAGTCCGAAACATACTGAAAACTTCTCGTTTGCTTCCCATCACCATAGACAGTTAAAGGTTCCTTCCTCAAAGCCTGTGAAAAAATCAACAATTGAGTCAACATAAATCGCGATTTGGATTTCAGCAAATAAACATGAAAAACGATACATCACCTGAGCAACAAAGTTGCTAACAACACGACCATCGTCAATGCACATACGCGGACCGTATGTGTTAAAGATCCGAGCAATCCTAACCTGCGAAAGCACGTTGTAATATACACATTCGTCACTCACGCCAAACAGGCAATTATAATGAGCAATTATAGCCACTCAACAAGCACAGAACATGTGATCAACTCACTTGTAAAGAAAAATTAGCAATTATAATCAACCTTTTGCCGAAAATGGTAACAATCTAATAAAAACACTTTTTTCCTTAACCTATAATTCAAGCCAGGAATGTTAATAATTATATCAACTAAATATGGATAACAAGCTAAAAAACCAACTAATGAGTAGAATTTAAGCAAAGTTTTTAAATATCGACATGCATAACCGTTAGGCAGATATATTTTTTCAACTAATATGCATACTTAGATACATAAAATACACCGTTTAAAAGTCTAACATATACAAAAGCATGACGTTTCTCAGTATAATTATATATTTTTATTCAAAATTTATTACGAATCAACTTGTCTAACCGTTAGACAAGCTCAAATATTGCATAAAGGAGAAGAAAGAGAAAGTACCTCAACGTTGGCCCCTCTGTGATAGTCCATGGTCAAAGTTTCAGCAGTCCTCTTCCCCTCATCGTAGCAGCTTCGGACACCTGTCACATCTCGCCACGTGTCAGCAGACAATTAATTCTTTCAGGTACAAAATCACTGACCAACATTAACGTTTACAAAATAATGCACATCTTAAATGGGTCAGGGGTCATCTTAAATGATCCATCTTAACTTCAGGCAGCCCACGTTTATAAATTAAAACGTAGGGTTAACTTTGGTACTTAAAAAGTAGTACCAAATATAATTAATTAAATAAACCCCACCTCACTCACACCATCCATCACAAAAAGAGCCGTATATTTTTGCCAATGATTATTCGAAAAGGAATAAAAAGACAAAATAGTTTTGTAAAATAAAAGAAGATGAAAAAAAAATGTTATAAATAGGTCCTTCGGAGTTGGAACGTCTTGTTGGAGTCCAACGAACAGACCCACTATTAATTACTTCAGTCATGGATAAATGGTTAGAAAGGCTTCCCTTTTCAACATATTACATATACAACAACAATATAGCCTTTAGTTCCAAGCAAGTCTGGGTAGTCTAGAGATGAAACCCAAGAGAAACACAAAAAGACTCGAACCGAAAGGAAGAGATCGAAAAAAAAAAAAAACGAGAGAGAGAGAAAGGAGCAAAGGTCACGGTTCTGGCACGTTGATAGCGAGCCTCCAAGCGCTCCTATCCACCGCTAAATCCTTGAAGATATTCCAATCTTTAAGGTCTCTCTTAACCGACTCTTCCCAAGTGAGTTTAGGCCGACCTCTACCTCTCTTAACATCCTCGACTCTTAACATCCTCGACTCGCTGTAGAACTCCCCTACGCACCGGTGCATCAGGAGGCCTCCGTTGGACATGTCCGAACCACCTCAGCCAATGTTGAACCAATTTCTCCTCAATTTCAACATATTACATATGATTAAATTAAAATGTGACATATAAAAAAAATAACATATAAATACATACATACCTTTTTAAATTAAAATAGATAAGTAAAAGTATGATATTTCATAAAACAATATTCATTTTATGAATATAAGGAGTGGTTAGACAATCTTAAATTTGCAACTAATATGCATATTTTTCAATTAATATCATACTTAAAAATAACCCAACATAGATATGCATAATTTTTAAATTAAATCATCAAACTAAAATATAAATAATATATAATATTTCATAAACAAAAATAGGCATTATTATATGACCATCATCTCACGCAAATTAAATGTGTATAATAATTAACTTTGATCCCATATTAGACCCATTGACATCTTGTCTTAAGTAGGGGTATAAGCTGGTCGAATTGAGCTTGAGCTCATGCTGCTCGAGCTTGAAATCAACTCTTGATGAGTCTAGATTGACTTTGCTCGTTAACTTGACGAGCTTGTATTCGAGCTCGAGTTCAGCTCGTTTATCGATATCAATGAATCGAGCTCAAGTCGAACGAGCTAAAATCGATCTGAACTACCAGAAAAATATGTAAAAATCATTTTTTCAAGCTTAAACGAGGAGTCGAACCAATCTTGGCTCATTATATATATGAGTTATAAATGAGTTAGAGCTTAATTCGTTATCAAATCAACCAAACGGAGTTGAGTCTAGCTGAGCACGTTTAATCCAACAAATTTAGTCTTAAAGAAAAGCAAAACCGAAACCAAAACCCACTAACTAACCCACACGTGGCACGACCGATGTCACAAATCATGGACCGCTTAAAAAACATGACACCAGACCAAACCAAATACTTCAGAATTTAGAAACTTATTACACAGCTCACTTTAGCCACCCCAAAAGGTCCGCACTAAACTGCGCCGCCGGACCAATCAACGTCGAAATCATCGTACGCGCATATGATTATCAATAAATAAATAAATTATAAAACAAAAAGTAAAAGAAAAAAGATTACCGATCGGATTAACGTTGCCCCAATACGTCTCCACCTGCGGGTGCTGCAATGGATCTCCGTACACTTCGCTGGTGCTCGTTAGCAGAAACCGCGCACCAACTCTCTTGGCCAGCCCAAGCATATTCAATGTCCCCACCACATTTGTCTTGTGCCCCCGAAAAAGAAAATCAAGGAATTTCAAACAAAATTCACAGAGAAAATTTGTCCAAATTGTAAAAACAAACCAAAAATCTCTTTTATAAGGATATAATTGTCTTGACGGGGTTATGCTTGTAATGAACCGGCGAGGCCGGGCAGGCGAGGTGATAGATCTGGTCGACCTCGAGCAGTAACGGCTCGACGACGTCGTGTCGGATCAGCTCGAACCTCGGATTTCCGAAGTGATGGGCCACGTTTTCCTTTCTCCCCGTGAAAAAATTGTCAACGACGATAACGCTGTCGCCGCGGGCTATCAGCCGGTCAACCAGGTGGCTTCCGACGAATCCGGCGCCGCCGGTGACGACGATCCGAAGGCCGCGGCGCTTCAGCCCAAGGGGGATCTTCCCGACCGAGCCGGTACCGAACCCGGTCGAGAGGAGGCGGCCGTTCTGGTACATTGACCGGTGCGGCAGAGTCCGGGTCAACTCGGACGGGACTAGTGAGTCGGCGATCCGGGGGTGCGGCGGGGGGATGGCTGAGAAGGCGAGGGCGGCGATGGCGACGCCGGCGAGCAGGAAGAGGAGACGCTGCTCGCGGAGGAGGTAGCGGATCGGGCGGGTCACGCCGAGCCAGGGCTTGGCGGGTTTGGGCGAGTACGAGTCGGACACGGGCTGGGACTCGTGGCCGCGAAATATCAACTCGGACGCCATTGTTNTTTCGAGTTCTGGGGGAGGGGCGGAGTTTTTGAAAGGGAGTTGTTTGATAAGGTGGTATTACCAATTTACCCTTGGTTGATTGTTATACAAATACTCAGTATGTAGGCATGGCCATTTGGCGGGTCATCGGGCCTGAAAACAGGTACCCAAAACAGGTCTGGATGTAGGTATGGGCCGGTTCACAGGCCCGGCGGCTTGGGACCACCAGTGCACATATTATAATAATAATAATAATAATAATAATAATAATAATAAACGTATGTCATCTCCAGGTCCAGAATTGGCGAGTTCAAAAAAATAAAGGCTCGGAACCGGCCCATTTGTAGCAAGGGTTCGGTTTCAATGGCCCGTGCATCTAGGCCAGTTTCGAGCTGACCCAACGGTCTGGGAAAACCATGGCCATGTTATCCATTTGGTTATTAGCTCGAGTGATGGATAGGACAGTGATTGTATTAGCATTTAGCAAATAATATATAGTGAATGTATTAACAGTTAATTGGAATGTATAACTACTTTGAAAGTATAATGTTGAGATATTATTTTACGAATCATTTATTTTTAAAATGCTCATATGTCGAATTCTTTCAAAAATTCTATTGAACCATTGGATGGCTCCCTTATAGTGTCATACAGAATTATTTAACGAATAAACTAAATGGTAGATTTAACGAGTCAAACTTCAAATCCACCTTATATATAATTGCAGGATCGTTGAATTTAAATCGCATCATCTCACGCTTCGGAATCCTATGTGCCAAAAAATTATATTTCGAAGTCAGGCTTCAGAATCCTCTCACGTCCCTAAGAATCATAAGAGTATGTCAGCGCAATTAAGGGGACGCGCCTTCTCGCAAAATGGGACCTGCATCAAAACGGGACCCGCATGATGTTAATCCGGTTTTTTCAACGATAATAAATGATCCAAGCAGTCCCAATATCCACAACAACTCGTTCGAGTTCCGTTTATAAGTACGGCTTTGAACGACACGCCCGAACCCGGGGGCCTGTGTACGGGGCATCGACCGAACTGCTGGGATTCGCACAAAGTTGAAGACGAACCGTTTGAATTTGTGTCCAGAGGTAATTGAAAAAGGAGAACGGTCCGAATGCGCAGACGACTGTATATTACTATGACGAGTTCGAACGACCAAGCCTGGGCAGGACGTTCGATTACCGTTAATAATTTCTATGGGTTATCCGTACGATACTCATTAATGACGACGAGATTCAGGAATTTAAGATCCTATAGTTCACAATCAGCTAGGACACATGTCGCGGGTCGAGACCTTCATCCGTATCGAGATCAATTTGTAAAGTACTAGGCATTTAGTGTGGATGTGCCATAATATCTTTAGAGCATCTCTAATAAGAAAATACAAATGAAAATTCCAAAGAAAGATTTTAACAAGATCTCAATTTTCCTATAAAATGAAGGAGATACAACATTTAATGAGGCAGAGAATATTCTTCTCATAAATGATACATATCTATAAGTCACGAATAGAATTCCTATTCGTTCCAACATATAAAAACATTTATATTTGTGCAGATTGAACCGAGTACACCAAAAGAGTGTACAATTCATTTATAATTGTTGACATTTCCATACATCAACAAAACAGATGTACATATTTTTGAATTGAAATATAACAAATTTAAATAATTATACAAACGTGTGATATTTCAGAGTATTAATATAAAATCCTTTTTTGTTGAATAAAATATGATGAATGGATGCGGGTGATTGAATTTTGATTGAGCTTCCTAATTTATCTTTTGGGTATCAATTATCATGCAATAGTAATATTGCTTTTATATGCCTAATACCTGACCTAGATACAAACCAATCTTTTAGTCGGTGCATTTTTTTTATTTTTTATTTTTTTAATTTCTTTCTATAGACTTTGACAAAAAAGGGGCATGGCATGGTCTATAGTAAACCACACGTTATTTGACCATATTTAATCTTTAATAAATAACTATATTATTTAGAAACTATTTCACTTAGCTTTTCATGCCAAATAATGTGGACAATCATCTTTTAAACATATGGTTTATTTCAACAGTGAGATTGACATCAAACTAACCTATCTATATTGCCCATCAAAATTTCAACTTTCTAATTCAATGTGAATAGGTCAAGATGGACAAATAATGATCTATAATATATACAGCCATAAAGGGGTCACAAAATACAACTTTATAAGGCAACTGTCGAAACTGAACCTTTTTCTTTTATTTTCTTTTCTTTTTCCATACTTAGGTGTCCAAAATAAAAGTAGAAAATTTAACATAATCGCCTTAGGAACAGTGGAGATGTTCAATAATAATGTTGCAACTTTGATATGATCAAATGTAACAAATTCTACACTTTAGCACTCGATATTAACATACTTAAGGCAACCAAAATCGAGCCGAACCCTGAAAATCAAGACGAACCGTGCAATTCGATGTTGAACAATTCGATTCTTTGTG